TTCATTTTGAAGATTAATTTAACACAAACCTACAAGATTTTTATTTTAAATTTTCTTTGCAAATTATTAATATTTTGAATGCAAGTGAAGTGCATGTCTGAGTGTGAAAACTGATTCAAAGGTCAAAAATTTATGATAAACGATTGAAATCTTGAGGCATTGACAAAAACGTATAGACTTTGCAGGTGCCATTCATCATATCAACAAAAAATTAATGAGAAAATTATGAAAATATGCTTGTGCATTTTAGATAATTGGCATGAAAAAGTAGAAGAAAAAAAAAACGCGTATATCAAAATTAAATCAAAATTTTTTATCTCTAATTAAAGATTTAAAAAAAATAAAATCATCAATATGTGAGCGTGTATGTGAGCTAGCAGGCAGAAGGAAAACTCTTTCGCTAAAACAAGAGCAAAAAAATTTAGAAACTTTTTCTTGTATTTTCGCTCATATGCTTTATATTTCTCCCATCATCCGTAGCATTAGGGCTAAAGAATGGAATGAGAAAAAATAAAATAAAGCAAAATATGAAACATGTTGCTTGTAAAAATTTAATAAATTTTTTTGTCTTCCTTTTTTTCTGATTTTAATGAGCGTCGAATTTGCGCTTTTCGTTCCTTCTGGTAATGTTAAGAATGATGTGATGTTAAAAATGTTTTTAGGAGTGGTGGTAATGTTAATATCAACACAACAGTAATGATGGCTAGAAAACGAAGATTTTTTTTTCCTTCCTTAACATGAAAAAGGAAAGCGGAGAAGAAGATGCCTGCAGACTTTCGTTAATTATGGATGTCGTTTTCGCTTAGATTTTGTTTTATTTATTTTTAATTCCTAATTTTATTTCAACTTGTGCTTTAAACATAAATTAAAAAGATCCGGATGTTGCTGTCAAAAATGAAGCTTTAAATATTTTGCTTGAAAACAAAAAGTTTTGTGATTTATTTTGAGCAATTATTGGCGCCATAATAATGTTTATTCTCCAGTCAAAAAATTTTTCCAATTCTTTAATATTAATAAAGCATAAACAGGCTTATTAAATAAGAGGCAATTTAAGAATCACCTAACGTACATGAGCAATAATTAAAAATTGCATAAACAAACAAACTTAAAAATCATTTCAAATTATTTAATCATCAAAACTTTCTCAACTATAAAAATAAAATTGTCAAGCGTAATAAGTGAGAAGATAGAAAAATGTACAATTGAAACGACATGAAAAGTTCAAAGTGTACAATAAAAGTTTATTAACGTAGGAAAACGCTCAGTTCAAAGTTATCCGAAGCAATTAAACTTCCTTTGAAGCCAACAGTGTACTTACTGCAATTTCCCGACTAGTTTATTTCATTGTAATTGGCATTGTGTTGTAATTACGAAGAAAATGAAGCAAGTTGAGGAAAAATTTGAAATGACTCAAGTTCAATTATTATGTTTCTCGAGCTAAGCTTTTATGGGTAAAAAGGAAATTAAACCAGGCGTTGAGTCCTCAAATTATTTCAATTAAAGTTTAAAAAAAACTCACTCTTTTGATTTTAAAATTTCTTTAGCTATATTCAAGCATCAAATTACCATACTATAAGTTCAGTGACCGAGTGAAACGTGATATGAAGCATAGAAACATATTCACCATAATTGAAGGAATTAACATGACGATATGTAGTTTATGAGTAACGTCAAGTAATGAGATTCATTAAATCTCAACACTTGCTGTTGGTTTAATTATGTAAAAATGTACTTAAACCATAAACCGTTGTTGTTTAAGTATTCTGCAGATTTCAAGGATGGGAAAAACGTCCCCTATTCATGTAATTAATTTCGTGACTTTAAATATTTGAATATTTATGAAAAAAAAGCAGCTCCGACCTTTGTTTACTGATATTATGATGAAGAACCTTCATTGATTAAAATTTTAATTGAGACCTGAAATTTTTCACCGTCTTAAACTTGAATATCTAATGATCCTTCTTATATACTTGATATGAAGGAGGTTTCATTAAGTCGAAATTTTTATGAGCTATAAGAATACAAGCTTCTATAAAATAGCCGCACGAGTGAGATAGTAAAAATAGATATTAAGATAAATAAAGTGGATGCTACAAAGTTCACAGGAAGTTTTATATCATAAAGTTGTTGTCTGCAAATAGATTTAGTCAGGGATTGGACATTGAATTCAGATATTTCTGATTAATTGCAAAATTTGAATATAAAAATTCTGATTCAGTTTTAAAAATATGTCTTAGATCCTTAAAAAATTTAAGCTATTAAATGATCATCTCTAGCAGCTTTCCTCAGCCTTATTGAATTAATTATGAATTTTATAATTTTATTACAACAATATTTTCCGTTGTATTATTTAATAACACTTCGTGTGCTTGCTTCTGAATGAAGCACGTGTACAGGCTCCCATTTATATTTTGTTAATTAATTATTTTACTTTTCCGTATCAAAATATATGTAAACATTGTTTGAATTTTATTTATGTTCTAAAATATTTTTTGCTTACGTTTTAAGTTTTCTTAAATTATCGCTGAATTTGCAGAGTAAATCTATTTAAGAGAAAAGCTTAATTTGCATAAACTTACTAGATATTTTTAAACTAAACTTTAACAAAAAAAAACTGAACTTTCCCAGAAAAGCCTATTTTCAAGTAATTTCCCATCCATCAATATTTCAAAAAAAATCCACCAATAAAAATTTTCTTCATTAATTAGTCAAGTTCGCATGCATTACATTGGCTTTTTGTATAGCCTCTCATATTCCATTCATTTCAGTTTGTTTAATAAAAGAGTCATTTTTTTTTGTTCATTCGCTTGCCAGATGCGAACATTAAACTTCATTATTATGAAACAATGTTGAGTGTTCGTGCAATATTTGTGCATCGCAAATGCTAGAAGTCAATAAAGATTTATAAAATATTGATACAATTTTTTTAATACAACATTAATCCACTGTACGGTAAAAATAGCGATGATTTACAGCAATCGTGTGCTCTTTTTTTAATGAAAATAAAATTAATTAAATGAATTTTTTTTTTGGTGCCTGGGGATGTAGTCGTAGAAGTGTGATAAAAATTGACTGTAAAGTTTGATAAGAATGATAAATTTTTAATGGTTGTGCGATAATTGTCATTCAATATTGGCTTATCGTTTCACAACAATGGGGACATGCATTCATTTGCAACAATAATTAATCATTTTAAGCCAATCAGTCAATCGTTGTAGATTTAAAGAAGCTTTTTTAATCTCAGAAATAAATATGTTCAATAGAATTCAATTCAGTTATTTTCCTTAGTTTAAAAAAACAATCACTTACCTTTTAAAAGATTCTTGATAAGGACATGCGATTAAGCTTTTAATAAATTAGTCTTGATTATGCTTTCTCGAAATCCCGGTCCCGACAAATTTTCGGGATCGGGATCGGGATTGAAATTTTTCGGGATTTCCCGGGAAATCCCGGGAATCCCGAATATGTAAAAAAATTTAAAAAACAGCATTTTTTCTGCTTTTTTTCCCAAAAAAAATTATATATTTTTTTGCTACTTATACGGTCATTTATTCCTTAATTAATTAGTTATACTTTATGTGTTACAAGGTAGATGTTTTAATCCATGTTTCCTTTGAAAAATGTGAACATAAACAAAAATAGAAAATAAATGTTGATAAAGATGTAAGTTAAAAGGTTATAGAAAACGGTGTGAATATAATAATAAAAATTAAGCATTAATGAAAAAACTTTTAACAAATGCAATTGCATTTAGATTCTTGTCAAGTAAACGTTTTCTTTGTTTTGTAAGAATTTTGTTACTAATAGAGAAATTTCGTTCGCTTTGAGTTGAGGTCGGCTGCATTGTTATCAATTCATCGTAAAGTTGATCTAATAAAACGGTTCTCTTCTTATTTTTGTCATACCAATTAAACTCTCTTTTCAAATTATTTGGTTCTGTTGCTGCTGCATCTGTTGTTAATGATGTATATTCAGATATGCTTAGTTTCAGTCTATCTCGAATAGAAATGTTTGACGGTTGGATTTGATTTGCACTGGATGTTGAAGCTTCCATAGCTCCATTTGTAGAGTTTTTGACAAAATACTGCTTCAATAAGTCAATGCCAAGTTTATGTATTGCAGCTTTTATTGACGATTTAAAATGCTTGTCTAAAGAAATATATTGAGGATTATTCAGGTAAAGTATTAAGTCAATTAATGTTCCATTTCTTCGTGCACCTATGCGAGCGCAATTCATATCGTAAACCTTTTGAGACAATAATGTTCCTTGTAGCAACAATTCGTCTAGCAAAAAGTTAATGTTCCTTCAGCAATTAATAAATCGTTTGATTTACGCAATAATTCTTCTGTCGCGTATTTAGCAGGTTCTAAAACATCAATAATTTCCTAAACTAAAAAACCGGGATTTTCAATCCCGATCCCGATAAATTTCGGGATCCCGGGATTGATCGGGATCGGTAAATCCCGGGAAATCCCGATCCCGATCCCGATAGCGAGAAAGCATAGTCTTGATCTACTTGACATTGTTGGATTTTAATAAAATTCATATTTATCTCATCGTTGAATCAAATTTTCTTCTGAATTTATCTGCAATAAGAAGAAAAAGAATCAAAAAAGTTTCAAGTCAAGTTGATTGTTTATAAGTTAATAAAGACACAAAAAGAGCTATTTTAAGTTCTCACATGAAGATGGCGCTACAAACATTATTTACTGAATCAAAATTATTTGAATGCTTTATTTTCTAACAGTAAAAGACTAATAAGTAGCTTCCTAGAATATAACAATTATGCTGTATAAAGAAATTCTGAAAATCACTGAAAAATTATCTTTAAAAAATCTATAAAAGCTTTTTCTTCATCTTTTTATTCATCAAAGTTTACTATTCAAAATAAACAATCCAAAATACTTAATCGAAACAGTTAAATATAAATAAATGGTTTACCTATAAATATTTTCTTATTTTTTCCTTTCATAAATATCATATAAACTTAATCAATAATCTTAAACTATTTTAAATTGCTTTTTCTTTTTTTAAACATTTTATACTTTTCTATTCAATTCTTTCAATTATTTAAAAGTTTCATCACACGAAAAGAATGTTTTGGTGTTTTCATTTTTTTTTTTCTTTAATCAAAATAAATAACAAAGCACTTCAATTATGTCTTAACTTTAGGTGCATATTTTGTTCCAGCTGAGCCTTTACAATACGGCTCATCACCATTTGTTTGGAGGAAATAGTCACCGCTTACATTCAATGGACAGTCAATACCCATATATGCAACTGGTGCGTCCTCATCACATTTACCATCTTTAAAATGATCCCATGACTTACATTTGATTGCTGGGAATTTTTGAGTGTCTACGGATGCAACTGATTCGGCCCAAAACCACCAACTTCGTCTGTGCGAACATAAATCATTGTCTGTGAGCATTTTATAATTTCTTTTTGGACAGCCAGGTTGAAGGGTTTTTCCTCCATTTGGCCAAAAGTCTACTGTTCCTGTTGAGACTGGAGCACCGTAAAGCCAGGCGTCTGTATGAATAACATCAACCTTATATTGGAATTGTTGGGTTAGTCTAGAGATACTAATGGAATCTGAGAAAAGCTTACCAAGACGGCGTCTCGTTTTCCTAAAGGCTTGTAAACCCAACCTGGATAGAATGGTGGAAATGCAGGATCTAAAGCACTGCAGCAAAATTTCATTTAAAATTTCTACAATATTTATTTATTAATGAATTTCTTACGTTATTCTTCTAAGTTTAAGTGTGTTACTGGATTTTTCTTTGACTTTTCTAGCCATCATTCCAGCAATTTGTCCACCTATCAGCATATGATTAATAAAATTAAGAATAAATATCTCAAAAAGAGAACTAATGTGTTACCTAAGGAATGTCCAACAATGTGTAATTTATTTATAGCAATTCCATTGTTTATGAGTTCTAACATTGCATCAGCAAGAATGTTTGAGAGTTTAACTGCATTTGGGACAGCATCAAGAAGATAATTTCCATCAGCTAAGTCTGCCCAATCGACAAATATTATATCTAAAAGATAAATAGTGCTATATAGGCAGGAATAGTCAACAAATAATAGAATATTTACTATGATCTCCTCGTTTTAAGTAAGCTTCACAGACAACTTTAACGCTTTCCATTTCCATATGTTCAATATATCCATGGACATAAATAACAGTTGGCTTTCCATTGTCAAATTCATCCTGTTCTAGAATGTCAACAGCTTTTGAAATTGGGAAATTCCGTTGATCGTTAAATGATTTTCTAAAAGAAAAAAATTCCAATGAAAATTCAAATTAATGATTTGTGAGAAATTTTGTATTTTTGGAAATTTCTTGAATCTTTAATTTGTTTTCAAACCAGAAATAGATTGAAAATGTCAAGGATGTAACTTCCGTTGAAGTTAGTAATTTTCAAGAGAAAGTTCACACAAAAGTAAGTTGAAAAAAGTATAGCTTAGTAATGATAGAGAATGTTCTTGAATTATTAAAGAAACAATTTCAGGGTTAAGGTAGTAAATTATTTAATTTATCCTTTCCAGTGAATTTTCAGAACGATGACCAAGCAACAGCGATTGGAAGAAAATTAAGTCAATAACAAGTTTATACTTAAAGACAATCCATATTTCCGAGTCATTAAACAAGGTTAAGAAAAGTTTGATCTTCAAAAAATTATGGAGATCAAAGATTATTATTTCACGTCAATTAATTAATTTACAAACTAGCTTAGTTAAAAAATCATGCGTACAACTTAACTAAGATATTCGATATTTGTAATTCCATACATTAAAGCTATATTCTAATAAATGAGCTGTTCATAAAATTGAGTGAGAAACCATGACCAATCACAATATTCAGTCAATTACACCACATCATACAATTAAATAAACATTACAAAGTAGATCAAATTTAAACGTTGTAAGTCGGTTATTGTTAAATATGCATAAAATATTATTTTCGCATTTCTGCATTAATTCACGTTATAAAATATCAACAATTTCCAATTATTTGTATAACTTCGATCGAAGAATTTTATCATAAACTCAGAACCATCACATCGTCAAAATCATATGCAAAGAGCACAATTAGTGTAATTAAGCTATGACGCATAGCAAGCAGGTTATAAACAATCTGTCCATTAACAGCAACTTAAGCTTATTTCGTAAGAAGCTAAAAAGTTTCCGATGAGCTTTGGAACAACAAAAAAAAAAATATGCTGAATCATTTATCGAGATATTTTAATAGACAGATTCAATTCTAATCGTGACAGTTTCCCATATTTTAAATACTACAGACGCAAATAGTAATTACACAGTAATATCTAATTTTAATATTGTTAAATTAATCGCATAAACAGAACTTGACATTTTCAAATGCTAATAAACATTCTTAGAAAAGCCTATAAATTAAACATCAAATAAAGTTTTGCTCACCCATAAAAGAAAACAAGTTTTGCAGAGTCTAATGTTGCTTTTACTGGCCGTAGACCAATCCAAAGTCCTAAAATGAAAAGAAAGATAGAAAATCGTTAATTATTGAGGCTATAAAAAAGGGAGTACGTGAATTTTAAATATTCCAGTCGTCATTAAAGAGAGTTCATCATGTGTCAAGTACAATAACCTTGAGTTTTTTCAGAACATTGAATTTAATTATTTTCTTGTGAACTGGATTAAAATTGAAATTTTTCACGTATTAATGTCTTACAATTAACGAGTTAAAGCACTCATAGCTACTCAGACAACGTCGACAGCCAGAAATGATCATGTGAATAATTTCCGCAATCGCATTTTAAATTCATACATTTTAGCTCATTAATTCTTATTTACATTCTTAAAACGCATTGAAATGCGTAATATGAAAAATGAAAGTTTTCAAAATGTAGAGCATTTCTGAGAACGTGCTTGTACTGCCAAAGAATTATCAGTTTTGTTTACAAGCATGACACAATGAATGTTTTTTTGTTAAGATTTTTTTTAAAAAAAAAATAAATGATAAGTGTCATAAAAACTTGTGATAATGAAGCATGTGGAGGCATTTGAAATTTTGTGTTTTATTATTTTTTGAGGAACGGAAATCATTTGCAATTTATCAAAAACTTGAAAGTTAATTTAAGTGCAGATATAGTAATAAAGTTGCAGATTTTAGAAGAATTAATGAAATTTTCATAGCTTTATGATTTCATTAAATTTTAACAGTTTTTAAATTAATAGAATTAAATGCAAAAAATTAAGTTTTATTGTGAAATGAATTTTAAAACTTTAAGTTTTGGGTTTTTTGTCAATTCTGGTATTTTAAAAATTTGCTAGAACTTTTGTAGCAGAAGTAATCGAATTTCAACTAATTTTGTATTTCAAACACAACAACTCTGTTTTTAATAAAAGCAAAAGTGATAGTAATTTTTTCCTATTCTAGCGAACGCAGACCTTGAACATACAAAGCAAAAATAATTACAACATGTGAGATCAAACTTGAATAAATCAAAACACTCGACTAATTTGTAACTCGCAGACAGTTGTATAGACCAATGATCAATAGTCTTCTTCTGAAAGATACACAATAGAGGAACTCTTGAAACATTTCAACAGGGAGCTGAGTTAAAAGAAGTGAAGATCAAAGAACTTTTTGTGAACCGCAAAAAAAACTCACTTAATATGTCTAATTTTAAGATAAAGTTCATTTTTTGTGAATTGTTTATTTAAATGATTTGCACTGAAAATATTATTTTAAGACAATTCAACTTGAAAAATATTGAAAATTTTATAGTATTTATTTTTTGGTGATTTTGAGATGTTTTCAAGTCAAACGACAGAGTAAATTTATTCATTCTTGATAATAAATTGATTTTTTGACAACCTCACAATGTCAATCACAAAGCCCTTTTTTTGAAGAACTATAAAGCTAATAAACTGGAATCTTATTCATATGTCATTGAGAATAATGTCAACTGCCATACTTGTCAATCAAGTTTAAAAGAGAAGTCACCTAATTCAATAAAATAAAATTATTGTTTTTGAATATTTTTTTAAAATATTTTCTACAAAATTTGGTGCCAGAAAAGTTGTCAGACACTTGCCCAATCAGAAAATTAACATTGCATTTATTTTACAAAACCAAAATCGTTTACGAAATTACGATTATTTCTTATTAAAAATTCCGCATTATCAGCTTTCACTTTTAACAACAGTTTTTTGTTATTACCAGAAAGTTTTTATTCAGTTTCGCAAATCATGCCTTTATCGTAAATTTTTTTTTAACTTAAAGCAATCACGCAATATTGAAAGTATGTCAATAATTTTGCCCAATTGACATAAATTGAACTCTCTTAAGGAATTGATTTTAAAAATACGCGAATGAAAAAGAATTTGAAAAAGTTGAAAACAACAGATCTTGTCATAAATACTTTAGAAATTGATCATGTCTGGCGACCAAATTAATTGTAAAAGTTGAAAGATCATTTAGTGTCAATTGTTGTCAATTAAAGATGATTACATTATTCATCGATCGTGAATAAATGAATATCATAGCTACCAAACTCTGAACTCTATTGATAATAACATTGCAATTTTTACTACAAGCAATTATAGCAAAAATAATAAACATTTGGCAAAAAAAAAAAATTTAAAGGCATAAAAAAGTCGCATGCAAAATTTATTACGTAACTTTTTATTACTTTGATAAAAACGCAGAATCCTAACCATAATTACCAATTTGCAACGCAAAGATGATGAAACTATGGATGTTAAGCACAGGTATAAAAATAAGCAAATCATAAAAAGAACATGAATATCAGAAGATCAAAGATTAATCTTTTGTAAGTTTTGCAATTGTCTTTAGCTATTCAACATTATGGCTTAAGGGAATCATTGAAGAAAAACTACAAATTGCAAAATTTTTCTAATGATGCTCAATCTGAGCAGTATAAACTTCAAAATTGCAATCAAAAAATTTTGTATTAGTAAGTTTGAGTCTAAAACCTAGTTGGGAAACAATCAGTGTTCATTTTATGTTCTTGAAATGCCAAAACAACGTCAAACAATGTAATTTGGTTTGAATACAATGTTTGATTGATGATTTTTTTACCACAAAAGGTTTCATAACTTCCGTACCAAAATATCATCAGCTTAATCGAGTCTTACTTAATTATTGCGGAAAAACCGTTAAGTTATTGCAATTTTTTATCAGCTTAAGCAAAGCAATTGCATCGAATAACAATTATGAAACATTTTATTCATATTTAAATTAAATGCTTGACGTGCGATATCCATTACATTTAAGTTTCACTTTTTGGCAATCAAAGCTGTTCTTTCATTTCTTATTCAGCGTAAGTCTGACAAAATTGCGAAAATAGATTAATATTTTTATCGCTTGTTTATATTTTGACGTTCATTGACACCAAATCGCTCGCGATCGAATTTGTCAAATTAAACTATCCGTTAGATTAATTGTCGTGAAGCCAGCATTCTCACATCAGACTTTCACAGTGAAACCCATGTATTAATGCTGGTCGTATCGCTGTGGAAAACGTGTCTACGGATCCACACGCATATGTATTACTTTTGGAGTAAAAAGTTAACAATGTTTAACTTTACGCCTGCTTTGAAGGTGTCCTTAAGACAGTGCATTGCGAAAGTGCTACAGCGATACGATTCGTTTTTAAATCATTGCCTGCAGCGCGATGGATCTATTCCTAATTTTCTCGTCACATTCGAAAGACCCATATGCTTCGGAAACCTACAATCTGCACTAGACCGGAAGGTGGAATCATGCACATTGATGGAGGTTGAATTGTGGAATCTGTGTCCTTTAGGACCCATTTGTATGCGCAGTTGTTCAGTGTGTCACCACAAAAGTTAATAAACTTTTCACCTGTCTCGAAGGTGCTTTATAAAAGCGTCGATGCTAAAGCGCCACAATTTAACTCACGTTTAAAAGCTATGTCTTTCCGCGAAACTTCAAAGCAAACCCGATTCAAATTTAGTGTCATGCTCAAATTCCTCATTTTTAACAAATAATAAATTTTCTAAATGTTTTATTATATTATCTCTTCACATTTTGTATCGTTGTACTATACATGTCAAATTATCTAAACACCTCTGGTAATAAACTATTATTATTATTATTATTATTATTAAATTATGATTTCTGTAGTTGAGAAATCAAATAAAACTATGAAAATAGCATCTTTTGTAAGTTTAATTCTAAAACTTGTAAAATGATTTTTTCACATTCTCATAAATTCACATCAAATGAATAACAACATAGCATTGCATTTTATTTGCAGCACAATGAGAATGAAAACGTTAAAATGTGCAATAAAAATTATTGACAATTGCACATGTGAAATAATTCGCTCTTGAATCAAGCAGGAAATAAATTAATGTTAAATGATTTTTATGTGGATTTATAAAATTCTTACTGTTGCGAGAAATTAAGCAAATAAATTAAATTAGTGCTATTCGATTTGTATAACGAATAAAATAGAATTTCTAGAAATATTCCTGAACGACACAAATTAATGTATTTACATTGGTTGTGGTTGGAGGCAAACATGTGGTGATTTTTTTTCAATGTCTTGCTACAAAAATTGACATTACGTAAAAAAATAGGAATCTGTGACATATATCCGCTAGAAATATTTCACGACTAATTGAATTTTTGTTGAATTTATTTTTGGCTGAATTTTTTCCTGACGTAAAGCATTTTTTAAATTTTTTTGTCTTAACAAACATTAAAATTTCATTCACAATTTACAAGTAAAAATGAATGGAAATTAAATTTTTTGTGGATCATAGACTGTTTTTTTTCAGAGCTGTAGTATAGAAATTCTTTAATTTTTAAACATTAAGTGACTTTGAACAATGAAAACTACCTAATTTATAGACACGTGAAGCATTTTTGGCACAGAAATCAAACAAATTTTGCAAATAACATTATCAGGTATTTTAAATAGTTTGCTTGAGTCTACATTTTATAAATTTTGGCCAGAACAGTCAAAGTCAACCCCAACTTGAGTTTTATCAGCTTTACTTTGATAAGAGCAATCAGTTTTTTTTATGTTTTCAGTTCTTATCATCTACAACTTCAATACTAGATGTACCTCAATACATTTCTATTGAAAGGAAGTCAAACATTTGAAGCAATTTTTTGGAAAAATATCTTTTTTTGAATATTTGTTTAAAAATTAAATTTTTGAATGACTTAATTGGTTCATATCTTTAACTGTGCATTCATGTTTTTCATTAATATAAAATAAAAATTGAGATCAGAACTACACATCTAGACATAAAACTATTTCATGTTCAAAATTAAATTTTAATAGAATTTTTATAAAAATCACAGCAAAGCACGTGTAGCTGCTATCATTACATAAAAAAAATATATTATGCGTATCATAAATCAGCGTAATTGTTAACAATAATTCAAGGGCAATGTAATAGATTGCATTGCGAGTAAAAGAGACTAAAGTACCATATATGAATTGGATGGATGCCTAAACATAATATTCGTAGTAATAAAGTGAAAAGAGAGGGAAGAAAAAACATCTAAAATTTATTACAGCAAGTCTTTCGCAGCAATCTTCATTTATCTCGTCTCTTTTAGAACCCTCAAAACAATTTTTATTTTCGGCACAGCTATCAAAAAAATGAAAAGATTGAAGGCAGCAAAATAATAATGATCAGCTGTGTACAGCATGTGCGCATTTTAATTTCTTTTTTTAACAATTTTTAATTATCGCTTTCGTACTTAATGGAATTTTTTTGTCTTATTATTAAAAACAGTCAACATTTGATTCGTTCATGTGTATTTGAGGCACGCAAAGTTCTCGTACGTTGCTACAAAGTCGAAACAATTATACTCACTTGGATTCATATATTTCTTCATTTTTGTCTTACAATCACACTTTATTCTATTGTAATAAATATTATGTTTTTTTTTGCTAATTCTGTCACATAGAAAATTAGCTCAATTTAATATTTCTGTAATTTATTTTTTACAGCAAATAGTTTTTTGATCATTAAGTCAATTGCACTCAATAAATTAATTGATTTCAATTGCGAATGTTAATCATTACACGAAAATAATATTATTTTCTATTACTTTAAACTTCCCTTCTCTAAATTCTATAAATAGATTCATAAAAATACTAGAAGAGTTTGTAAATTCAATTAAATAAATAAATATAAAGTATCTTTTTTTTGACACTTCTATTCAGAGAACTTTTCAAAATCGCGTGTCGCCGTTGAGCGTTGAATATGGACTGAGACACAATGTTTTACTTTTTTGAACCTACAGAACAAAATAAAAAAAACTCTCAGAGTGAACAAAACTCACACAAGCATGAGAAAATGCCGCTTCGTGACTGTATTGAAGCACATTTCACTTTCTCACAAGTATCAAGACTTTCTGGGCGCCAATAACACTATCTTTTTACCACTATCATCAAAATCATTACTAGTTTACATGCACATCGCACAACTGTGACTGTATTTATCGTGCTGAGTCATGTGAAAATGAAATTGTGTTTTTTTTTTCTCTTATAAAAGTTATTTTATACTTTTCTTCTTTACGTGTGTTTACTAGAATTTATATAGAAGAGAAAACTTTCATCTTCCTTGTTATCGTTCTTCCTTCCGATTTATTGAACTTTGTTACGCAAGGCTATATCTATGCGGTAATTGAGACTCGTCTCTTTTCTAGCTCGAAACACATTGCGGAATGTTTTTCTTAACTTTTTTTACTTCCTTTACTAATGAAATGAATTTATTACGACAGGGATGTGTGAGCAGATCTGTTCTTCTATGAGATTTTAGAAAAATATTATTAGAAGAATTAAAATGTTGATTTTCAACTTTAAAACAAGTGTGACAACTAAATATTGAATTTTGAAGTGAGATTTGTAATCTGAAGCTACAGATGAATTGTCATTTAACATAGCAATCGCATTAACCGCAAAGCAATATAGAATCTTGCTGTATTATCCAATGATATTGATTCTAAAGTTTGACAAATTCAGGTCAAATTAATTTGAATTGATCTACGACGAAATTTTCGATTGAATTTCTCAGAATTTTAAATAAAATATTTTTGAAACTATAGATTAGAATAGATTTTAAAAGTCAATGAATTTCAACCACAACAAATTAAAATCATTAAAGTTTGCATGATTTTTCACTTAATTTTAATTTGTAACATATCTTGATTTCAAACTAACAATGCAAATATCTAGTTTATAATGCAATAGTCACGCTATGCAAATGTATGTCGAACAACATGCAGAGATTTTCAGAATTGGCCAGTTCACATAAGTTTCTACTAATTAAAGGCTGTGGATATCGATTTTTGACTAGTTCTTCTGGAAAATGGTGTGTTTTAAAAATAATGAAAATTCCTTGCGAGTAATAAAAATAATAATAATAATGAAGCTATAATATGTACTGAAATATTCTATTGGACTTGCAGTATAGTAAAAAATTAATTTAGAAAAAGTAAATATTTTATTTAAATTAACGCAAATATTTTAATTAAACGTGAAAAATGATTCAATTATTTTTTTCAACGATCTTGGAAATCTCATGAGTAAAATGAGCAATAAAATAAATCACTCAAGTTTCAAGAAAAATCAAGTCCAGAGGTGAAAACAAATTGAACAATAAAACTCAACTCACGATTCATTAATTTGTTTTCAAAAACTTTTATGAACTGTAAAATTAATGGTAATTGCTGAATTATTGTAAGAAAGATGAATTATACGTCATCGGAATTCCCGTAGAGATTTTCTTATTAGGTCGTGTTTTGATGGATAATTTCAAAATCTAATTTTATGAGATTTTCGTGAGCGAATTTCATTCGATTTTGAATGAAAAATTTCAATATCATTTTTAAACGTTTTAAATTTGATCATTTACAACTTTACGGCATTGAACTTGTGAACAGAATTAATTAACACAACTTGTATTTGTAGTGAAATAAAATCACTTTTACTATAACTAGCACAACAATGCTTACACTTAATCAACTCATAAAATCAATTCTATCTACAATTTGCTCACCTACTGATATCAAAACACCCGTACTTGCAATAATTACTTGATTCCTTCCGAACATTATAAAGATAAAATGATTATGGAAATAAAAGTGGTCTTCTCTTGCTCGATGTCAAATTAAAACTGCTTCTCTTTGCTGAACAAACCACTTTTACAACTTCAATGCCAACTTTTTTTTTCTTCAAAAAACGTGCTTTCTACGCTTCGTTTGAAGAGTTAGTAACAATATGTGCAATGAATATACCGTGAATTTAATTGAGGAGCAAATTGAGACTCATATTGTAAATTGAGCATAACCATGCATCAGCATTAATATAATGCATTGTACTTAAAACTATTTGCTGTATTTAAATAATCAAAAAATGTAGAAATATTCAAACATATCAGGATGAAATAGAGTATGATCAGTGATGATCATTTTAAAAGCTTATTTTGAATTCTTGAAAGTTTAGAGCTTTTAAATAAATATTTATTTGAAATGCTTGCGATCGTTGAAGTTTTGTTTTTTAAGTAGTTTAAATTTTGATGTCTTTAACATGCTGAAGTTATTTTGGGATAGTGCTTAATATTTTAATAACCTTAATCTAGAATTTAATTAAATTAGCCAATGAAATACATCCTAAAATCCAAATCGCTTAGCAAATAGCACACAAACTCTATTGTCATGAACTTTACAACTCAATAAGAGCTCGCATTGATCCATATTTTAGCTGATAAGATTGTTTATGAATGCATTGTGTCATTTGTGCATGCAACTCGTTCGCAATTCATGTGGGAAAGAATAAAAGATATCTTTTTTCGTCATTTGAGTTAAGAGACTTGAATTTATCCCACATACAATTCATTATCAAAATATCCTGGAAATTATCCATCAAACAGTCATAAGCTAATAGCAATTAAATGCACAAAAACAATTAACAATATCCGAATATTCACATTATTCACATATTTCAAAATTCCACATAAATTTATGAAAAAAAAAAACTTTTCGTTAACGTGAAATGGAAGGAAATGAATTAATCTTCAGAACAAAAATTAATGCCGTCTTTTAGTCTCATTAGAATGTAAATTGAGCCTTGCACTTCAGAAAGTGAATCTTCTCACTTTGTTAATCGCTGCATGGTTCACAACAACAATTTTTTAAAAACATTCTCAATTTCTCATACATTCACATTTCTATCTCTGGGCATTATCAACATTATCATGTGCTTATGGCAGTCAAAAAAAAGTAGAATAGAGTGTCAACTTGATTAAGCGAGAAAACACTCGTTTACTAATTTAACAATTGAAAAAAAAAAGTTTTATTTTAACAAAGTGGTTCTCGTGCTTTTGAGCAACATTAGAATTAACGTAATATGTGCGGAGAGAATATTGCTTGAAATCCACAATTTATTTTTTTAGCCGGAGACATTGCAGTATCAGCTTCCGAATCGCGCGGATGCAACTGAGCTATTTGTTCGGTATTTTAAGTTATTTTATTTTAGTTTATTTTTTTTTCAAGTTCAAAAAAATCATAAAAAGTCGCGTGGAGCTATTGCCGAATATTAAGTAAATAAATATTGCGTGATATAACTGAATTGAATGGTTCCATTGAACTCTCACAGCTGATTTAATATTTTATTTTCATCGTTTGATGTTTCGCGATTCCATCAAGATTAATTCGTTGATAAAAAGCTCTTATTTGCTCTTTATGTATCAATTAGTGAAGCTGATTCTGTAATATTTAACGAGGTGTTGTGAAGTGATATAGTTTGTCTCAACTATTCAAGTGCAATTAACTCGTTAACACCTGATTCATAAATATTGTAAAATAAATCAAAACTCTTGTAAAGTCGTGTCATGAGTAAGTGCTGATAGTAGTGATAAGGAAGAAAACTTTGTGTGATAAAAAAAAAATATTTTTAGATATCAAATACAAATTTGAAGAAGAAATCGAAATTCTTTAAAAATGATTAAATGATAATCTGCAAAATTGTGACTGGTTTATAAAATTCAGAGAAATTTTTGTGAATGGAATTTGAAGAAATTTGGTGTCAATGAAATTTATTTTGTGTTTAATTCAAACTCTTGTGCTTTTTGGATAAGTTTAAGTTCGCCGTAACAAATTTAATTCTTTGCTTTAATTTGAAAATGGAATTAAGAGCTTTGTAAATTGTCAAAAAAGACAAAAAACAATTTGAACAAATTTTTATTCTAAAAGTTTCCATCTCTTTAATTTTTTAAAATCAAAAAGCATTATCACAACTGACAGTGAACAAAATTATAAAACAAAAGAAACAACAACAAAAAATTGTCATCAGAGAAAATTTTTCATTCATTAATCAAGCAATAAATTTTAATTTTATTAATTCTCAGCATTATTTAATTATAATAGAAAACTTTTCTCTCTTCACATGACCAACATTATTGCATTTAAAAAATTTCGTAATAAATTTCAATTTAGATTAAACTAATCGAGTGAAATAAATCAGTTAATGATGATTGCTTTTAATTCTGTTATCAGAATGATGAGAAATCCATCAGATTTGTTGTTAAATAAATAAATAAGTATGCGGAAATTTTTGTGGGGTTATTTGAAGATGACGTTTTGTATTTTGAGGTTAGGATGTCTTACAATAGCAATGCTCAAGTTTGCCGCCAATATTTCCTATATTAAAAAAACAAACCCGAATAGCACAAGTCGTGATCCAAGTCGTCCTAGCTTAGGACTTTGTGCTATTCAGGAAAGTAATCAAAGAAACGTCATTCATAATCAGCCCTTCGAAACTATTTTATTTTCACCAATAGTATGCCATAACTAAGCTAGCACGTCAATGGAATTTATTTTTGCATAAACAATAAAATTACTCGAATTTCAATAGCCACAAAATAAAACAACAAAAGAAATGAATACGAACAGTTCAAAATATTATTAAATTACAGTAAAATTCATTAAAAGGAACAGAAAACTTAATCGTGTTAGGAAAAAAAATAAAAAATAAATAAATAAAATTTAATTAAGCAAGAATCAACGAGACACTAAGTTTTTAATGAATTTGATTCACTTTCGCTTAGGAAGTTCACAAAACGTCTAATGTACATCACTTTGTGAATGAATGATGCGAATGAGTAGCGGCAAAAATACTCTGTAATTAATTGACACTCGGAGTGCATCAGTTGGAAGTAAATGATTCAGTATGGATTCACAAACGAATGCTCTATATGACAATCAGACATTTACGCCAAAATATGGACTCAGTGAGATTTCATTTAATGCCAAGCACTCGCCAAAATCATCACCAAAGCCCACGCTAAAAGGTATACGAAAGTCAGAATCAGCTAAGAAATTTATCATTTTATCGGCTGAAAAAGACAGCGACGATGGAGCAAGTCCATTTTTATCACCGTCAACAAGTTTTGTAAAGCCAAAGCATCATTTAAATGCAAAATCATTAAGAACCGGCGATCCATCACTAACATTTTCAAGTCCAAATGTCTTGATGGCACCACAATTTGCTCATCTTGCAAGATCTGGATCTTATGTGTTTAGTGATAGCGGATCAACACGACTATTTAGCGATGCATCATCAGTAAGATCATTAGCATCAATCGGAATGGGTTCAACAGATGGTAAACGTATGGTTATCCGTAAAGTTCCGAATTCACCGACCGAACTACTCAACTACATAAATCCACCAACGTAAGTTGACATTGAAAATCATTTTATTAAGCAGAAAATATCCACAAAATTTAATTATCAGAGCGATTAACGCAGGAAATCATAAATTGTATAAAGCACATTGAATGTCGCATGTGAACAATAGTAATAGTCAAATATCAGAGCTTGTAGTTTACTTTTCTATGATGTACACAGATGCTAGGCTATTTTAGAATATTAATTGAAAATTATGTTTTCCGTCCCGACATTATAATAATGTGAATTATGCAATTAGATCTAATTTAGAATTTTTGCATTTTCTTCTGTTCCCTCATCTTTCACTTCTCGCTTTTCTTGCCTTTTATCATTGCACACGCGAGTTTGTTAATTGATTCATCAAAGAGGTCATTAAGAAAATGCAAAAAAGAATATTGTATCATCTTCACTTAAAATTTTGTGTTATTTAATAAGCACGCGATATTGAGACATGAGTTAATAGATTGGATAATACAGTGAATAAGGGGAAGTCTGAATCATATTGGCTATATTTGGCACAAGTTGATGGTCTTTTATATAAATTTGGATGGACTGAATTGACAGGTCAAGGGATTGAATGTGACACGCTTTTAAATCTGATGCAGTGGTGCTTAAGCTATGTTTCACGACACATTCTGATCCATTTTCACTGATTTAAGTCCATTTGAAGCTAGAAACATCAAGCTTCCTGAGTTGTCGATGGTATCCAGCTTAAGTACTGACTTTAAATGTTGCAAACAGTGTTGCATTCTGGCCATTTGCCTGGATCATAAAGATCGATTCCACATGAAGATAGAAAATCTAATCTACACAAAGATTATTTCTACATAAAGATTCTGTCTACATAAAGATTCGATGTAGATGTCTACAATTCTACATTCTTCTCTGATGTAGACCTAGAAAAAATGTAGAATTGTAGACATCTACATCGAATCTTTATGTAGACAGAATCTTTATGTAGAAATAATCTTTGTGTAGATTAGATTTTCTATCTTCATATAGAATCGATCTTTATGAAGAAAGTTCCTTAGCTAGACAAAAACTATTGAAGAATCTACATTCTTCATCTAGTGTAGACATCTACATTTGCAACACTGGTTCCAAACGACCCAAAGAAAGATTCTTTCATTCTTCTAGTCCACAATTCAAGCAAAACTAAAGTAAATATCAACCTTAGTTACTTTAATCCAAACCACTGACTTAATAAAGTCGTAAAACTGCAGAATAAACTAAGCCAAATCCCACTAAATTCCCCAAACATGAGCAAACATAATAATAACAAAAATTGAATTAAATTTTACAAAATGATACAAAAAATTACTTTCAATTAAATTGTTAATTTGCTGACACATTTTTCTCTGTTTGACAACATGATTGTTGCTGCTATGCGTAAACTTGAAATCATTGATCGAAAGTTTTAAATGAATCGGGAAATGTCTAAACTATCATCTTTGTCAATATCTCTGTTTGATATGCAGTGTCAGCTAATTACAATCATCATTAATTCATTAGTTTTACAGCAATTTAATCACTCGCTTATTGCTTGTTATTCAAATTGTTTAGTATTCATGTGTGTAATTATAGCTTCTGTGGATAGCAATCATGTCTTTCCTTAAAATCTCATTAAAATGTTCTTTATTAATTTTTAAATGATCGATTATTTTAAACAAAATAAAGTAATTACAAGTTTTAAGTTTACAAACAGAATTAACAAGTCATAGTGCATGTAGGAGTCTAGTTCTACAAATTAGACTTGACGGCTTTGATTCGAAAGGTTCTGATTTGATTGATAATAATGAAGTGTGTGAATCAGATGAGTTTTTAAATTTTGATGGACCAAATAGGCTCATCTATAAATAAAAATATACTTTAAAAGACCTTAACAGTTTCAGATTTTAATACCTTCTCTTTTAAAAGACATCCAAGCTTTGCAAGTCGCGTGATTTCAATATCTTTGATAGTAAACTAAAGTGTCTACAAAACCCATCATTAACCTGTACTATGTAAGCTTATCTAAGTCTTAAAAGTGCACACAAGCTTGACAACTCGTGTTTAAACGCCACAAATAGAAAATAAATTATCGTCATTATGATGCACTATGAATTTCACATCATTTTCATGTAAATATCCAGTGCTTGTTATTATTTTCTCGTCCATAAAAAATTACTACTTTATTTTTGTTATATTGAATTTCAAGTTTAATGCTTAGCCTCACAAAATTCCGTCCACTTTATGGCAATAATTTGCAATTGCCACAACGGATATTATTACACATGTGACACGCCATGCCTTCAAATTTGCAAAAGATTAACATATTTAATCAAAAGTTCTTGTTCTTGTTTTTATTTTCATTTAAACTAATTTTTTACTCCCTCAAAACGTGACGCTGATCATAAAAAAAAAATTGCGAGCACATCGTGTCAGTGCCATGTCTAATTCTGCATTTTAAATTGCAATTTTTTCTCTCTCTGATCTGCTTATTTCTCTTGCAGTCAAGGTCGTTTCGATAATGTTTAACAATAACAAGGTTCAATAAAATGGGGAGATAATAATATCATTAAGTAGAATAACTAGTATGTACTGATGACTTTTATGTCGGGTATTTCAATTGTCAAATGACGATAATTTTCACATATGTCGTGTGTGTACCGTGCATCGTCATTTTATTATCTATTCGACTTTTCCTTGATTATCGCTTTTTGATTCTCATTTCTCAAGTCGACAATTACATGTTTCAACAGTCAGTCGTCGACACAACAACTTATAAAGTATAATATATTGTCAGTTGATCGCGAAAAATGATCGTGAGTGGATGTAAAGAAGTAAAAGAGTTCTTAAAGAGTTTTAATAATTGACTGGATTCATATATATTTGACAGCAAAATGTCTCCAAATTCACCAGAAACTACATACAGAGCAACGACTACAATTCCGATAAATAGAAATGTACAGAATCCAAATCATAAAGGATATGACGAGACAATTTATTTCTTCCGCAACATATATCAAAAGTAAAATAAAAGTACTTACTAAATTTTAAACACATTGGTGATGACGTCATAAAGTTATAAGCACAATTAACTTCCTTAAACCGTGATTTTTATTAATACTCATAAATTTGTTTTTAATATTTTTCACAAGATTTTATCACTTTGAGTGTCACTTTTATCACAAATATTTGTTCTTTTATCTCAGAACTAGATCATTGTCTTCTTTCACTCGATTTACACGACAATTTACACGAATTTTTCGAAAAATATTAATGATTTGAATTATAATTTTAAAACGAGATTTTTGAATTTGAAAATATTTCCAAGCTCGAATGATTCAACTTTCAAAAATACGTTAAAAGTTTAAGTTTGTCAAGTGTTTTCATTCCTGAACAGAAGTTAAATTAAGTAACAAATCAAATAATCTGATCATTTACAATCAAGAAATATGATAATTCTCGAGTAGTGTTATTATATTCAGTGAAAAAACTTTGTAAGAAAACGAGTGTATTGCTGAAATCTATTTACTTTCTTTGTTATCACATTTTGAAGATATTTATATCATGTTTCAAAGTACAAATATTAATAATAATAGGAATTTTATTGTAAATACAGCTATGGGGCCGTTCACTTATTACGTTCGCATTTTAGGGGGGAGGGTGGGTTTGAAAAATTGTAACAAACTGTAACATAGGGGGGGGGGGGGTGTCAAGAAGCATGTAACGTTCTAGTTCTAACTGTCGTCTGTCTTTTAAAAAAAGTTCACAAAAAAAATTTGTTTACAAATTCACACCAAAAACATTTTTTTAAATTTTCCATCTTTTTAATGATAAAATAAATTATGAACGTTCGGGGGGGGGGGGGGGGGGGTGGGGGTGTAAGTTGTAACATATTGTAACAAGGGGGGGAGGGGGGGTGAAAAAAGTCGTTGTTTTGCGTAACGTAATAAGTGAACGGCCCCTATTACTATATATCATAAATAGCATATCATTGTCTAAAAGACTTTATCATTGAATTATGTATGGATTCAGGTCAGAATGGAAATGCTTTGACAAAAAATGAACAAAATTATTTAATAATTACTTATAATAATCGTAATTAACTTTATACTTTGCAGGCCACCAGAGGAAATATACGAGAACGAGAGCTACGATGTCTCAAATGATGAATTTTATGATAATATCCAGCCTAGAAGACAGTATTGGTCAAGTAAAATACATTTTGTGTTTGCTTGCATCGGATATTCAGTCGGTAAGCCTTATTATCCCATATTTTGATTGTTGTGACTTTATGCTCACTATTAATGACACTTAATTCTCATTTACTTTAAGGCCTCTCGAATGTCTTTCGATTTCCGTACATAATGTACAAATCTGGAGGAGGTGAGTTTGTTGTTTAGCTAGAAAGTGAATGATCTTGTTTATTTAAATGGATACTACACTTAGAATGGTGTCTAGAGTGTTCCAATGGACATTTATTGAATTTACTAGATGTCAGTGTGACTAGCTCCAATCAATTTTTTAAGCTTTTGAAAGCTCTTACGTCAAAAAGTAGTTAAGCAAGTAGATATCCATTGGCACACGCCTAATCAAGTGTATATCATCAGTCATCATAAAGATAAGAGAGCAAAAAGCGATAAGATGACATACTTGCATCGCATAGCTCTAGTAATTTAAATATCCAGCCTTAATCAGACATTTCCTTACCCAATAAATTAATGATTAAGATAAATTGAAAAATTTTCTCTTTTTTATGTGCTTAGGTGTCTTCTTATTGCCATATTTCATCACCCTTCTTCTATGTGGAATTCCAGTATTATTTATGGAGCTTTCGATTGGTCAATTCACTGGTCGTGGACCAATCAAAACGCTGGGACAATTATGTCCATTGTTAAAAGGTAATTAATGCTTAGAATGCGGAAAGAACTTGTGATTTATTTGATTTATTCAAGTTACAAACTTTATTAATTAACTTAAAATCAATAGATTTTGACACGTTTTGCATTTTCACATTAATCATCTTGCCCACAATCAATTTCCATTCAGGTTCTTTGTTGTTTCACGTGTCTAACAAGCATGCAAGCTCATTTAATAATTAAATTAATTCATCTCCGATTTATATAATTGATTAGCATTAATTATTCGTATTTAATCCATAACAAACTTATGACTAATCTCTATTTTTAATATTATCTTATTTATTTTAGGCACAGGAGTTGCAAGTGTGATAGTTTCTTTTCTCATGTCTACATATTATAGTGTTATTATAGCATACTCAATTTTCTACTTTTTCACATCATTCCGTAATGAACTGCCTTGGACTGGCTGTACAAATCCACGATGGGTAGGCTATAAATTCATTTTTTTGGGATATTATAATGAGCTTTTGTGGGTGTTAAGGCATTTTTAATGAAAACCGTTAATTTCAAAACTAAGAAAACCGTTAAAAAGCTCTCATGAAACCGTTATTTTGAAAATTCAAAATTTCATAGAATTCAAATTTTTGAAAAACGTTAAAAAGTGAAACTGATTCATTCATGGAAATTTCATGGAACTCAAATTTTTGAAAAACGTTAAAAAATGAAACTGATTCAATTGTCATTTAACTTGCTTTAAAGTACTTTCCTAATCCAACAAGCACCAAATACGAATTCTAATAAACCACGCGGACATGAATTTCTATTTTCCGTGTTCATTATTGCTTAAAACTTATGATAATGACTTTTTTCAGAATACTCTAGACTGTTGGAACATTGCAAAACTAAACTCGAATTTGACACGCCCAAACAATCCACAAACGCCTGCTGAAGAGTTTTTCCAGTAAGTCACTATTTTAAATAAATTTAAATGTCATTTAAATAAGCTTGAATCAAAATTCCAGAAATAAAGTTCTTCAAATGTCGAACGGAATTGAATATCCAGGAGGTATTCGATGGGATCTTGTAGCATGTCTAATATGTGCATGGATATTAGTATATTTTGCAATCTGGAAGTCTATCAAATCATCAACAAAAATTCGTTATTTTACCGCAAGTTTTCCTTTCGTTCTCATCATAATTTTCCTTGGAAGAGCTCTAACATTGGAAGGTGCCGAGAAGGGTCTTCAATACTTTTTCCGTCCAGTCGATTGGTCTGAACTTAAGAATGCAAATGTATGGATAAATGCAGCTGGACAGAGCTTCAACTCATTAGGAATCGCATTCGGATCAATGATATCATTTGCTAGTTATAATAAGTATAATAATAATATATTGCATGATACAATTGCTGTATCGTCCATTAATTTCATCACATCAATGCTTGTCGGAATATTTTCATTTGCAACTATTGGCAATATTGCTTTTGAACAGGGATTACCTATAAGTAAAGTCATTGAGGATGGACCTGGATTAGTTTTTATCGTATATCCACAAGCACTTGCTAGAATGCCTGCACCACAATTATGGTCAGTTTTATTCTTCTTTATGCTCCTGTGCCTTGGACTAAACTCTCAATTTGCCATTGTTGAAGTTGTCGTGACATCAATTCAAGACGGATTTCCTAATTGGATTAAGACCAAGCTTGTGTATCATGAAATTCTCGTTCTTTTCATTTGTGTCTTTGCCTTCTTTTTTGGACTACCGAATATCATCAATTCTGGTATTTATTTCTTTCAATTAATTGACCATTATGTTGCATCTATAACGATCTTGTTTGTGGCATTCTTTCAAATTATTGCGATTTCGTGGTTTTATGGAGTTACAAGACTAACGAAAAATATTAAGGAGATGACGAGCAAGAATCCTTCGAGATATTTTACATTCTGCTGGCTTATTACCGCGCCTTTGATATTGCTGGTGAGTATTATTAAAGATATTTAAAAATTTAACGGTTTTGAAAAATTTGAATGAACTTCTTTAATTAATATAAAATCTTGATTCCAGGGAATCTTCATACTAGCTCTGTACAACTACGAACCATTGACATATCAAAACGGAACTTATCATTATCCATGGTGGGCTCATATGATTGGATGGCTTGTTACAGCAACAACTTTATTATGCATTCCTGCTTTCGGTCTTTTCAATATTTGTCGTGCACACGGAGATACCTTCTTTGAGGTAAGTAGTTTTGATAGCTGCATTTAGTCTAGTCTTATTACACATTTGAATATCTTTTTCCACACATTTATGCCAAAAATGTAAGTAATTGTTGTTGGTTGTGTCTCAAAGTTGATGTAGTTCAGCATTCCTTACTAATTTGTCATTAGAATTGACTATAATCAAGTTCCTTTCATTTAATATTTTAGAAATTGAAACACACAATGAAGCCAAACATCTATGAATGCAAAATATGTGGAGAGCATCACTGCGAACACGACTTTCATGTCCCAGAAGAAGAAGATGACTTTCGCATGTTTCCAATAATATTACAACCACCGCCAAAGAAGCATAGTCAGGCACAAATTAATGGATTATCAGATAAATCAAGCAATAGTAGCCCAGAGCAATCAAAAGAAGCTGTCGCAAGCTGTAGTAAATCTCAAGATGTCGAAGATTGATATTTTATGATTGTTTTAATCAATGGACAGTGAATTGAGTGAGATTATGAAAAATGTCAAGCAATTTTAATTAAAGTGTTACCAAAAATTTTCGAAATAAAGTTTTAATTATGTTGAGGAATCAATTATTGAAAATTAAATGCTTTGTGCTTAAATTACTCAAATAAATTAAGGATAAATAACGTAATTTTAAAATTCAAAATTTTAACATTTGTATTGTTTTGGTAAGGTTTTGGAATAACGGATTTTGGAATTCAAATTATACAACATTTGTATGGTTTTCGTTTGACGGATTTTTAAATTTCAAATTTTATAACTGTTTTCAAACAACCTTAAATCAACAATCAATAAATATTGGCAAAAAGATGGATAAATACTTCCTAAGTTGCAGAGTGTGCTTAAAACTTGACGATAACAAAGAATTCACGTCAGTTTTTAAGTCCAGTGACTTACGAATGAAGTTTGAACGATATTTCAGGATTTCTGTAAGTAAAGCAATACTTTAAATTTTCTATAAGTTTAAATTGTTGAATTCACAGCTCTTCAATGATAACATCAATGATCGAGAGGCATTAATTTGTGATCCGTGCATCAAGCAGCTTAACGAACATTACGAGTTTCAGTTAAAAGTTCGGAAAATTGACGAAATTTATTACACACCACTTCGAAATGTGAAAATTTCTCAAAATCCAGCGGAACTGAAGCAACCAAATTCGCTGTTATTTACAATCCAAAATGACTCAATTGAGACCGATACAGAGAACATCTTGTGTCACTCAGCAAATGAAATTCTCGGATTAAAGATCCAGAATGTTCATAGTCTTCGTTAAATTATCTCTTTATTCAGGATATAATTGTTAAATACATTCATTAAAAATGCACAATATATATTGATATTAAAAATAGCCAAAATTTCTCTTAATTAAAGTATAAAAAAAAGAAGTAGATTTAAAGATCACTGCAACTATGCGAAACATTCTGATTTAAAAAAGTAACATTTGAGGATTTAAGACGCGTGTGATGAGCATTTTGTAGATTCGAAATGCATGGCGAAATTGATGATGGTGTCGTGCTGTGACTATTACTTAAATCACATTGATCTAATTCCTGTAATAACTCGTCAGCTGACAATCCATTCGACTTTTGAACTGTAAAATTTAATATAATTAATAAAAATTGGCATTTAAAGCTTATAAAAGCGTACTTAATTCTCCTTTATTGTATAGATCTAGTGCTGTAGTTAAATCCCACCACTGAATACAGCCGTTGCAATGTCCAGTCAATAAGAATCTCCTCGGACGAGATCCCATGCCACGAGATCCTTCACATTCATGCACACAAAATGAGGAGATTGCTGTATCATCTACAGACTTAATCACACAAACACGATTTCCATTCGATGCTAATCGAACGTACAATTTATCTGCTTCCGGCACAACTTTTTGAATCATTAATTGTTCATCGTCTTGCTCACCAAAAGGTCCAATAGAATTGCCAGCTAAATATGTGTTATTTGTCTCGACACTTTCAAGTGAAACGACTTTGTAAGATGCTTCAGGTGTCGAGCCTGGCTGTGTGCTAATCATTCCACGAAATCTTGTGACTTTCCATGTACGAACGTGATTGTATTCACTACAAACCGAGATTAAATATTTTTCCGACAATGTCACTTTAATGACTGGACTTTGATGAACGAAAAATGATTGGAACAATTGGGGTCCATGACCGACAGTTTCTGGATGTTGAACAATTACTTTGACAGCTCCTGACTTTGTTCCGTATGCAATTTCTATCCAATTTCCGGATAAACCTAATGAAAATGGAAATGAATGAAGTTTTTATAAGATTTGACAGACATTTGGTGTTTTAATACATAAATTACAGCAGCTATAGCACAAAAAGGATGGTCGTGGTCAGGGGCGTAGCCAGAAAATTTTTAAGGGGGGGCCCATTTTCGAAAATTAAAAAACCGTTATTTTGTATCCTTAAATCTATATTCATTCTTCATAAGTTTAAATATTGAATTCATTATTCATACATTAAATTTAATTTTTCGTGCTGATTTTGAAATTCCTTTCATCATTTCCTCTACATTTTTTTTCATTTGTAAAGAATAAACATACCAATCTAGCTAGTCTAGAGACGTATTCATAGACTAGCTAGTTGTATATATGTTTATTAACCATTCTGGTTGAACATAATTAACAATATAAACATTTTGATAAGTGATTACAAAAAATATTTGAGGTTTTGAGCTTTTGTAACGGTTGAAAAAGATTTGAAAACGTTAAGTTCTAAAATGTACTAAAAAGAAATGTAAATATTGCAAAGTGGTAAAATAAGTGACATTAAATATTAAGAGTGCTTAATTAAATTATTAACGGGCCATTAAAGAGGACAAATCATTAACATTAACTGGTTCTTCTCTATAAATACTTAATAAAACAATTATCAGATTTTCGTAGGGGGGGCCCGGGCCCCCAATGGCCCCCCCCTGGCTACGCCCCTGGTCGTGGTCATTATTGACAGCGCACTTTCTCTGGATGGAATAACCGTCAAATAAAATTCAAAAATTGCTTGCAAGACGGTAGTTTTAAGTTCAAAAAAATTCAAATTGTAAAATAACGAACAAAATAAAAAAAAACTTTAGAATCCAGGAAATGCGCTAAGCAGCTAATGATCAACATCACATGACGCATTATTATGATAAATGATATTAATTTAAAAGGCAGAATATAAAGCATTTTTGTACATAACAACACTCATGTATATAGTTTTTGTGTATCATATATATTTGTGTCCCGTGAATAATAACAGCAACTTAAGCTACCATGCCAGCACCAACATAAAAGACAATTAAGGTAACAGTTCTTGATAATAAATGTGAAGGCAATTAACTTCTTCTATCCTTACAAAAATATTATCATGTGTCGAGAATGTGAAACTTACTAACAGAAAAAGAAATCATAGGCAATTAATTAAAATTAAGTATAATTTTCTTGTTTTTTTGTGACTAAAACAAATTTTTTTTCTTTACCTTCACGTCCTTCAGCTTGGTGCCGCATGCAATATTTTTTTTTATACATATGTCATAAATATATTTTGAAGATATCACATTAATATAATTTTTTAATATGAAAATATATACGAGAAAGATTAATAATGTTATAAACTGAATTGAATGTATGAAATTTGTTGATTTTAAAAGAAAACTTGATGAATTAAGGATGTGATTTAAAATGATATTTTCAAAATAAGCCATCGTTGTAAATTGGATGACTAATAAGACAGTAACCAATCAGTAATTTTCTTTGAATAACTTAAAAATATTGCTTAAAATTTAACGGATTTCTGTAATTTAAATTCGAGTTATGTTCAAAAAACTTAAAATCCAGAAGTTCGTTAAAAGTTTTGAACTTAAAAAAGACGCAAAAATTAAATTTCAGAAATTCGTTAAAAACTTTGAACTTTATAGAGACGCAAAAATTCAAAAATCGAGGATACGTTGAAATTTTGAACTTTTGAGAATTTTATAAAATGTTCTTTTCTTTGAAAAACTTAAAAATGTTGCTTAAAATTTTAAGGATTTCTGTAATTTAAAATCTAAGTTCAAAATTTTTAAAATCTAGAAGTTCGTTAAATATTTTGAACTTAAAAAAGACGCAAAAATTAAATTTCAGAAATCCGGTAAAAATTTGAACTTTATAAAGACGCAAAAATTCAAAAAACAAAGATACGTTAAAATTTTGAACTTTTGAGAGTTTTATAAAAATTCTTTACTTTTAGCTTTAAAAAAACTATTTTGTGAAAATCGGGTATAAATGCTTCCAATTTTCCAATAACAAAGATCCAGGGTGGTTAAAAATAGAATCTGGCCTTTTTTAAAAATATGTTCACGTGTACAATGTGTGGCAGAATTCATATGTTGGCAGATAATATATGTCACATATTGCATATCTGCACATATTTTATGTGTGATGTGTGCACATATTTGATGTGTGACACATTATTTTGTGTCACATATGAAAATGTGTGATATGTCACACATATTTATGTGTGTAGATATCATGTGTGAACATGCAAAATCTGCACATATTTATTAATTTGCGGGACTAAAGTGATAATTTTTGAAACATTTAAAAAAAATTATTGATGCATAACCAAAACAGTCAAATATTGCATAAAAGAGGAAATTTTGTCGAAAATATGTTCATTAAACTGTAATTTTAAACTAATTTGACTACATTTGTTGGAGAAATGAAGATTAAACTAAGAATCCAAATAATTGATGAGCTTCAGTTATGATCTAATATTTAATAGTAAAACTCGTGTCCTTAAATCACATGCATATGTATATGCAATGTGTGACATATATTATCTGCCAACATATGAATTCTACCACACATTGTACACATGAACATGCAAAATGTGTTGGATATGTGTACATATTCTGTAAAATATAATGTTTTAACAACCCTGCAAAGATCTATGCTTTTCTTTGCTCCAAAAGTGAATATCAGAGTATCTACTTTTTATAATAAAGATCATAATAATTAAAATACTTAAAAAATATGAATCAATGACTTACTCGTTGTTTTCGGCGTCAGATAAATAGAAATGGACGTGATTGGATCATTTGCTGGATCCTTATACAGCTCAGTCACCAGCAAATCATTATCCTTCATCCTTAACGGAAATTTCTGCATATCAATATAATAAATGCTTCCATTGGTGCAGCCAAGTAGCAAGAACGACCCAGCATGATCAAATGATAAAATTTGCAATAAATCTTGTATCTGAAAATGACGAGTATTTGAGTGCCAGACACCAATCTTTCCAGTCGATGATAATGCAACGAGCTGGTTTCCAATAAAGAACAAATATTCAACACGAATTTGAAGATTAAAAGTTCCAATCACATCAGATTTCTCTTCTCCGATTCCCCATAGCTTAATTTCACTTCCATAAGACACAGCAACCATCCGATTGATTGAATCATTTGATGATGTGATTGTCATTTTTGAATTAATTGCAATTCTTTCGATACTAGTGTCTATAAATGGTGATGTAAAGACAAGCTGCCATCCAGCTGAATCTTTCATACGATAACAAATAAAGAAATGTGAATAAGCAACAGCAATCCAGTTATGATGAGCTTTAATTATTTGCACGCGAAGTGGATCTATCCAATTTTGACCGAGTTGTCCTAACACGAAGCCTAAATCACTTTTTATGAATTTATTTAAATCAGCTGAAGATGTTCGAGAATGTTGATTACGCAAGTCTAATGAAGGATTTCTAGAATGCTGTGTCCTTTGTGTCGACACCCGCAAGTCCCAAGATGAGTTTCTCGAATGAGTGTGCCTTGATGTTGATGGAACGTCGCTTTGCTGACGCGATGAGTCTGAACGAACTAGTCCACGAGATTGAGATGAGTCTGACTCAACGGATGAGGAATTTAAAGCTGCTTGAGCATATTCTTGTAAAGGAATGTCTGTAAATACAGAGTAATATAGTATAATTCATATTATGAAGATGATTTAGCTTACTAGGTGCAGGCAAAAGTGAGTAAAAAAGTAAATCTCCACATCCAGAGTGTTCCATCTCCTCAATCAACAATAATCGCTTAATTAACGGCGATATAGAATAATATTCAGCCTCATGACGCAATGCACGTATATCACATTTATTTAAGTCAATATCTTTTGTCCTAGATGGAGATCATAGGTACAGAAATTAGCAATAGAGACATGATAAGTTTTTGTGTGATTTACCTTAAATAATTCAGAATCAGACTAAACAAGTTAGGATCTCGGTCAATAAAAATCGCTCCTGTTTCATCTCTTAGCGATTGGATTCTTCCAGATAAGAGAGACGTGAAAAATGTTTCAGGAATTTGATTTAATGTTGTTTTTGATGTCGAGAATCTGAAATTAAATAAATTATTGAAACTGTCTTTTTTAATTTGAAATATAACGGAAGTTCAAAATTTGAATTGATTCTCAAATTGAGTTTGAAATTTGAACTTGAATATTTTAACTGTTTTTAGCATGATTTGATTAAATCCTGCCTTTAAGCAGTTTATTTTTGCCAAAAAATAATCACATCATTCATGTTTAATTCCACATAAACGCTTTTTAATCAGTAAATATACTGAGAAACATGAATCATCAATCCACAAAGGTTGATAAAAAGAACTTCCGAATAAAGCAAAAAAGAGCTTACAAGTTTAAATACCAGATTAAAAGGTCAACAAGAGTGCATAATGCAGTAGGAATTTGTTATCAATTAACTGCATATTCACTCTGTGTATCATCCGAACTTGATTATTCTTTAAAATGTTCAATTTAAAACAAATTTTATAATTTTTAAGTAACTGGATGTTCAATGAAACGGTGAATGATCTCATTCACAGTCTATTAACTGCATATTCAAGGTTTTTAATACAGTACAAGACTTGTACTCTAATTTTTTGCTGTATAATCCAGCACTGAATTTTATCCCTCAAAATCCCAATTCTAGCAATTTTAAATCAGTAAATTTCACCTAATCAGCTTCTATAATATCGTACCTTTGTCCTCCGACATTCAAATGAACTATATCACCAGAAATACCATGCATTTTTTTTAACTTTTTCAATTTAGAGAGGAAAAATTACGACGTAAATTTAGGTCAACAAATTATTGATATTTTTTCTCTTTTAAAATCACAATTTTCTATGACTTCATTTTATTCGAATGTTGTTACAGCATTATATGTATAGATATGATTATTTTAATTCGATTAAATCTTTGATTTAACACTTTAAATTCTTTACAATAAATCTTTTCACTTTTAGCACATTTTATGAGCTTTTAATTTGATTTTTGTTGTGATGAATGTTTGTCTGACTGTCAAAAAAATTAAAATATTCAAAGTCATTGTTTTCAAATATTTTACTACCGGTATTTTTTCAAATAATTTTTGATCGTTATTTTCAAATTTTAAAAATTTGTTGATTTTATTTCTTGCTAATATTTTGAGAGAAAAAATTCGCTTTTGTTGGTCACATGTTCAATAGTTTTTAACTTACTTTAATCTCATCGACTCTTGTCGACAATCTCATCGACTTTGTTTATATCCAAAAATTTTATATCAAAATTCGTCATCAAACATTTTGTTTCATTTTTAATGTAATTAAGCAGCTTCACTTTTAGAATATCTTTTAAAATTAATGCAAAGGCGCTTTATAAACATATTAAGTTCAATAATGGCACCGAAAGGCTCAAAAAGTTCGAAAAAAGACACAAAACCCGGTGTAAAGGAAAAAGAAGTGAAGGAAGTAAAGGAAGAAAGTGCAATAAATGTCCTCAAATCTGGAGATTATTCAATCAAAATGTAACTGAATTTTTTAAATTTTTTGAACTTTATTTATTGAACTTTAATTCAAATTCCAAATTTACGTTGACTTTTAAAATTCAAAATTTCCGTTATTTTTGCAGACTAGCTAAACCAGGAAGTAAGGAAAGTGGAATCGTTGGACTTACAGAAGAAGGATTGGAACTGAAAATTGGAGCTCCAGCTGTTGAAGGTAACTTAACTTATGCTTTAATTAATTAAAATAACTTATCAAAATCATTTTAAGGAGCCGCAAACACAGAATTAATAGAATTCCTCTCAAAATTACTATCCGTCCGAAAGAGTGACGTGAGTCTCGATCGTGGCAGTAAGTCTAGAGTAAAAACTGTTAACATATCAAAAGACTGCAAATTGTCATTAGATCAAATAAAGGAGATAATAAATACGAATGTTGGTAAATAAAAATCATATGTCGAGTTGAGAATTTTTCGGACAGTTTTACTTGTCGATGACATGCTTGGTGCTACTGCTGGCTTTCACTTTCTTTCATAAACAAAGCAATTTTTTATATTTTTGTATATTTCTAAAAAATGACCCAACAAGCACGTATTGATAATGAAAAACGAAACTTATTAAGTGATTTAATTAATGCTACACGTGAAGTTACGTCAAAATATAATGGCTGTAAGCAATTAGTGACAGAGGAATTTACGGACATACAAAATTTATTGAGTTTATGGGAGCGAGTCTTATCTCACGGACTTAAAACATCAATTTTTAATAATGTCCAAGAGCTATTTAATAGTTCGAGTAATGGAAGCATGTTTTGGACATTCGCTTATCAGCATTTGACAAATGATGAGCAAAAAAGATTTTCAAGTTTTAAAAATGTAAGCCATTTGTGCATTTACGAGGTCATTTTAATCTAATTCTCATTTCTTTTATTCTCTCTTTGTGATAAAAACTGATAATCTTGTAGCTGTGGACGGACAGAGGAAAAACAAAGGCACTGATACGAAATGCATTCAATGAGAAATGTTTTGAACGTTATATACTCACGTGGATTAATGTTGAGAATATTCACGACTATTACGAAAGTCATGCATTGCTTAGAGACGAAAAATCAGCAATTCTTCCAAAATTAGCTACTGACATTAGCAATATATTGTTCGCAATAAAAATTGATGTTCCAGAATTGAATGTACAGACAGTAAAAACAAACTTCCCAAAAGATGAGCCAGTTATTGAACCAATGCCTACTACAAGTAGTAAAGTAATTAAATCAAACTGTAAAGTGAGGAGTATTGATAATTTTGAGGAGACTGTTAAGCACGCAGAATCTTCAAAGTCATCAAATGACTTACTTGAATCGAAATATCTTCCAAAAATGTCTGATCCTCCTCCAATCATGTTACCAGAACAGCATCAAGTTACCGAACCATTATCAACGACATTCGACAGGATCTCAATATCAACAGAGTCATCGTCAATGTCACATTCTAATTTTTATGATGTTAAAAATGAAAGTGATACAGTCTCACATTCCAGCATATCGTCAAACGAAGAAGTCAATGTGATTAATAAGTTTGAAGATGAACAGCCACTGCAGCAACAAATCAACTCGAAAACACAAATTGAAAATGAATTGTTAATGCAAAAGCAACGTGAAAGAATCTCAGAGCTAGAACAGCAAGTCCTTGACCTCACACTTGAAAATACGAGATTAAGAAATTTGTTAAACGCGAATAAAGTCAATACACTGGCTAATTTTCAAATTGCTATTCCACGTGCTGTTTTGAATAAATCAAAAACGAAGAATTTTTATATTTACGAATTAAATTTAAAATCGACATCTGGATTGGAAAGTTGGACAATCTTTAAGAGATATCGTGACTTTTACAAGCTCCATAAAGACCTCAAGAAACATCATCTTCAAATTAAAGTTCTCGATTTCCCACCAAAAAAGAAAATTGGCAATATGGATTTCGACTTTGTCGAGGACAGAAGACAGCGATTGCAAGTTTACATAAGACATGTCCTTCAAAATTTACCAGACCTAGCAAAATGTGAAAATCGACAGTTGTTGGAAGCGAAATGTCCATTTTTCAAACCCCAGTAGATTGTTATATCAGAATCTCATTTACCATTACTTTGTTACTAGAAATATAAGTCAGAAATGCAAGAATGTTGTTTATTGGCACTACGATTATTCTGATGACAATTTATATCAATTAAGGACAGACAAGAGCCAGACGGATGAGCGAATAACAAAAAACAAAGGACATTACATATCAAAGAGATTTCCAACGTGAGTGACGCTTTGTTATTCTTGATTATTTCCTTGTCCTTAAAAGTGACAAATTTAAGAGTTACTTTTTTGAAAAGGGAATTAAAATCCCCATCTATTGTGGTACAATTCACTTCATGAAAGTTTACAGTTGCTCGAAAAAATCACTTTAACTGAGCGTCACTCACGTACAATTTTTGGGAATGTTGCTATATCTTCATTATTGTTTATTGATATATCTCCAAATGTATTTTTTTAGGTCCAAAATTCAATTCTGTTCTTTTTGAGTTTATAAAAAATTTGAAATTGCTGCATTAACATACCCAAATGGACAAAATTAAGTTGAAATTTTTTTAACGGTTTTAACTTTTTTGAACTTTTTCGGTTATAATTTGTTTGTTCACAAACAAAATCGAAAATGAAATTTGAAAAGTCACGAAAATGTCACTCAATAATGATGTAAAAGCTTTTAAAACAGTCAGAACAGCTAAAGTATCATCTACTTTTCGTATTCAAACAATAATATTTGGGATTAATGATTGAATAATTGAGAATTTTGAGAATTTAATTTTTGATGTTTTGTATGATAGTGTTAGTGAAAAATTCAAATTATTTTTTTCTGTTAAGCAAAAATCCTTAAAAAAACGTCGAGGCCCTAATCTATTGAGGATTACTAAGAAGCTAGCTTTAGATGTTTGAAGTCATCAACCATCGACAAAGGTTTAAAACACAACAATGTATTAGCACCAGACATTTAATTGAAAAACAAGAGATTATAAACCATTATCAGAATAATCAGTAGTAAAAGGAACGAAATTTCTATGCATTAATCAGCCACTGACAGCATTACCCAATTAGATAAAGATAACGTTAATTCATTTTATTTAATTCAATAAAAGATTGTATATTGTTTTTTATTAATTAGTAACTCATATTAGCTACCGTAGAATAAAAATATTAAAACGGAAAAGGTGAAATTAAAAATGAATTTAAAGTCCGATTTTAAACTTTAAAATGTCGTTAAAAAGATTGTACAGCACCTACAGTTAAACTAATTTACAGTATAGTATGTGCATCAAAACATTTCAAACTTTGTTATATTAAAACAGTGCCATAAAGTTCATTAAAAAGTAAAGTATAATAAGATTATATTCAGCACAAGTCAACACGACTTAATCCTTTCACCAACATATCCCCAACAGACTCCACACAATCATATATCAACACATTTCAATTAAACATTTGTCCACTGACAACGTGATGTATGTTGTTTATTATTTCAATGCCATCAATCCATTCATTCAAAATAATGGCAAATGCGCATGTCTCAAAATTTATTTACTGTCTCACTCTAGCGTAACCATAAGAATTTTCGCGCAAGATCCTGTCAGAATACTTTTCATTCTCAAACGAGTCTTATCGCAAGAAACTAATTTTTTTTAAATTCTTGTAGTTTCTCAAGTTCAGTAAATACTTTTAAATCTATAAAATTAAAAAAATTGGCAAAACATCATAATCAGCTGTGTGCGATAGAAGAATCGACTTGAATTTGTGCGTGTTTAAGTGATAAATTTAAAATAGCAGAACAGAAAAAAGAAATCATTTAAACTTGGCTCCGATTTTTCTCTTTTTTTTCTGGCAATTCAAATCAATTCAGTACTTAATTCATTCAAAATAAAGAAAAACAAATTAATTTATTTACTGTAGTCTTTGTTCAAGTAGTCGTTCACATTTGCGGATTGTAACGCATTCATTAGTGGAAATTCTTGTAAATTTTTTTAAAAGTGGATTTCCCCCCATTTTCCATTCTCTAAAGATATTTTCTTTTTTTTTCTCTCAATAAGTATAACAAAAGGATCCCCCTTTATTATACAATGTTTGTGTGCCACTGTGTGTGATTAAGCGCTAATCTCTTGTGTTCGCGTAGACAAGGAAGCGAAAGTGACGTGGAAAGTCATTAACTTGTATATTCCTTGTCAGATAATAAGAAGAGAAAATGATAATAATGCTATTACATATTTTTCAACATAAAATTTCATGTGAAACAGTGAAAAAAAGAATATGATTGGAAGGAAGGAGAAGGAAAAAGAACTAGTATTAAAGTCGCTGCTTTAATTTGTGAACGGGTTGAAAAAACGCATTTTCGTCACAGTGAAAATGTGGGGTACATTATATTGAGTAACATAAGACAGAATCTTAAGGCCTTAATAGAGACTTTTGTCAAAAACTTCAAGCCTGAAGTGTCAATTGTTACCTAATAATTCAAGAAAAATAGTGATTCCTTAGTGAAATTAATTCAAAACATCAAGGAATTAGGAGAAAAGCTGTACAAGCATTGAACTTTCAGTGTCGACCCATAAAACACAAATTTCCAGTTCAAAAATCTAAAATTAGAAATTCTGCAAAATTTGCTGGATTTATAAACAAACATTTTGTGATTCAAGGCTGTTTAAAGTTTCTGGTCCTTAAAAGCTTTTTTTAGAATTTACTCTTCAGCTAGATTTTAATAGAAAAGTCCTTTTATCGAGATCAATGTTGTTCGTCTTGAACACGACTCTAGTTATAGTTATCGTTTATAGAAAATCAAAACATTCCCAACTTGGACACGACTCTAGTTTAGTATTATCGTTCATAGAAAATCAAAACATTCCCAAATACCATCCAAACCCAAATGCAAATGATTGATTTCAAGGCTACCCAAAATCTCAGCAAACATAAGTGCTAATGATTGATTTCAACCTTTTTCCTTCAACTGCTTCCGTTCCCAAAATAATTAGTCATAAATTCAATCCGTCAAAGTGAAATACAAGTTCATAAATTACCGAGAAAACTTGCTAAAAGTTTTTCCAAAAAAATGAGTTGAATATCGATTCTAAATGAGACATACATGAACATATTAAATTCAAGTGAATGAGTGTGAGGTGGAACATAAAAATGTTCAATTATACTAAAAATTTGAATTAGTAACACATAACTCATTAATATAATAAAAATTTCAAATCTACTAGCTCTGCTCGACAATATTGTGAGAATTTTTTTATCATAAATTTTCATAAGGAGTCATTCATAAATGACGTAAATCATATAATAGGATATTTTGACTCACTCATGATATTTTCTATTAGTATGCATGTGCTATACATTTCCAGACCCCCTCCTTCCTCAAAAATTGGACATCAATTATAATATAAATACGACCCCTAATGTTAAACATTTCCACGTCAATAAGAACAGCATTATTATTATTATTGCCTTACGTTAAATTCATAAAATGATTTATTGCCATTAAGTATTGATTGCTCGAAAAGAGATCTTGAAGAAGCGAGAGAAAAATTGTTGCCAAAAAAATCCACATCCAAAAATAAGGACGTGGAAAAGCCAAGTTTAACATATTTCTGATACTTTAGGGGCCAAGAAGTGAGAGAAACTAGAGCAAGTGTGTTTTGTTATAGTGTATAGATTGCATAATTGTGAATAAACCAAAAAATAATACTCAAGTTAAGGACGGAAAAGGACAGAAAAAAATAATTAAAATAAATATTTAGTTCCAATGAAAATGTCTACGCAAAATACTATCGTTGAACGAGCATCAGCAGAGTTGACAAAGCGTATTAACGGTCTACGGAAACATTCAAGCAACTCCTCAACAAGCTCGGTCAACAATAATAATTCAAATACAATTGTTGGTAAAACAAGTGTCATGGAACGTGTCACAAATGTCCTTTGTGGTGGCGGCTCATCAAGTAATAACAGCAATAATATACATAGCACTAATTTAAATTCCCAAAACTCAGCTACAAATATGTCAATTAGCACTCCCGAAAAGCCGTATCGTTACCAAACCAAGCATCAGCACAATAGTATTTTTAATCATCATAATAATAAAATGATTGGCGGAACGGCAAGTCAGGGCTCAAATTCAAATCAATCGACGCCACAATCATTGAGAAAATATCAGAAGCAGCAAGGGACAAATAAGAGATTTACATCAGTAACAACGTCGCCTATACTAACGATCGAACAATTATTTCTCGATGAGAAATTCCTCCAGCAATTTCTCTTCTTTTTCTCATCCTACGAGCGTCGTGATTTAGCCCAAGTGTGTACAACATGGAGGGACATTCTTTATCGCAATCCTGCATATTTTTCTGGCCTTGTACCCGTTCTTCAATGTCGTGAAATGAGAGCAACGGGAAATCAGGATAAAGTGAAGCTTTATAACTCCATCATTCGACGAGGCTTTCATTCTATTGCACTTAACGGTGCAACTGATGAGGATGCCCTCGATATTGTACACACATTTCCATTAGCATCAAAACACATTCATTCACTTAGTCTTCGTGGTTCATCAATTAGTGATAGAGGGCTTGAAGCTCTCCTTGATTTTTTGCAAGTAAGTACATTTCAAGGTTCAACAGCAATTACCTGTGATGAAATATCTTCCAAATGCCATAGAAATTTACTCAGATGTAAATTTCTCGTTCCTTTTTACCCCCTCAAGCTTCTCTTTTTTTGTGCTTAGCACAGCAAGAAAAATTAATTTTCGTTCCAAAAAAAAAGGAAAAGTTTTGTGTCACTTTAAAAGAATTATCTAAACTTTACTCGAGCTGAACGTTATACATGGAAATATGCTTCTTTGCATATGTTTCAGCATTATATCATCTAATTTTCATAAAAATGTTCGATAACTACCGAACAAGGATATATTGGAAAGTTGTTAAGATTTATGGGTTTGCGAACGCATTTATGCTTCTTATTGATGGATGAAACTATAATAATCTAGGTCAATTTTCAGGATGAACTAAAGAGTGTCCTTAGTGAAAGATGCTTTAAACCTCAATTGACATTTCGGTTTGTCCGAAAACCCAACCAGAGGAAGTCTAACATAACAAGGATTCTAGCGGACCTCCTAGAATAAAGTCAGTAATTAAATTGAATAGTCTGGCACAAATTATGAAATGTCTCAGACGTTTTCTAACTCTATGGAGCTCTGCTAGATCAACGATAGTATGAGAAAGACTTACCCTCATTTCACAGTGTAGATCATAAAGGAAAATTGAAAATGAAAGCGAAAAATTAATTCTTTGAGTAAATTGATATTAAAGACATCCTTTTTTCTCGGTAAGGGTTGAGTGTCATTGTACGAAAAGATGAGGATTTGCTTTAACAAAGCTTTAGCATGCTGATACCTGCTATTAAGGTGTTTAATACCTTTATTGGGAACGTAATCCATGCTATCATATAATTGTCGATCAAAAGGCTCATCAGGCAACTAAAGAAGCAGACCGTAATGGGATGTTTCATTGTTTATGCCTTAAAGTTTTCAGTAAAACTTGTCTACATTCATAGCAAAAAGTTTTTAAGGTTCACCACAAAATCCCTATTGATTTAAAAATCCAAACTGTAAAGAACAATCCTATAAGTCTTGTATAGCATGCTAAAAAAATGTTCGACACGCACTCATAATATATATATTGAAAGTTCAATGCGAACTTCTCATATTCTTGGTGCTTTTACGCTATCAGAATAGCATTATCATATCCAACGGATGATATAAAAAGAATTTTTTTCCACTAAATGAACAATCAACGATTTTGCCTTAGCTTAATTGAAAATCGAAGATGCAAAGCACCCCCGGAAAAAAAGAACAAAAAGGCAGAAGAAGTTGATTTAATTTGCTCAATCAATCGAATTATAATATTTTAAATATTCTGTTTCATTTTATTTCCATCTCATCATGTTTTCTGGAACAACAAAAAGTCTCTCTTTGAACTTGAACTTGCTGGCTGTAATGAAGTTACTGAAGCTGGTTTATGGGCTTGCTTAACGAGTCGAATTGTGAGTTTATCGTTGGCGGATTGTATTAATGTTGCAGATGAGGCTGTCGGAGCTGTCGCACAACTTTTACCTTCTCTCTATGAGTTCTCGCTTCAGGTACGGATTTTTTTGTTGTGTCTTCTTTTTATTTAATTTAATTATCTTCTGAAAATTTCTTTTGCAGGCTTACCATGTCACCGATAGCGCTTTATCATACTTTTCACCTAAACAAAGTCACTCGCTGAGTATTTTACGTCTAAATTCATGCTGGGAGCTAACGAATCATGGAATTGTGAATATTGGTAAGGCAAAAATATCAATCAATATAAATTGAGCTGATTACACACGCATGCATTCCAATGAATTTTGTGATCTGTATCTGAACCAAAAAAAGAAATGATGATGAACAAAAATATTTGTGGACGGGGGGATAATGTCATGGCTGTATTTCATTAAAAACAAATTCTTTGCGGTTCACTAGCCCAAAATGACACAAATTGTTCATGTCATATAAATTGTCGCATGTTCAAGCGGAAATGCATTTTTGTGGATGGCATAAAAAAAGAATGTCTTAATACTTTTTGTCAATATTTATTTTTGTGCCTCGATTATAACGTTATGTTCGTTCTTTGTTATTTTATTTTTGCAGTGCATTCACTACCGCATTTAACAGTATTATCGTTGTCGGGATGTAGCAAAATCACAGATGACGGAGTTGAATTGATTGCGGAGAATCTACAAAAATTAAGAGCACTTGATTTGAGTTGGTGTCCAAGAATAACGGATGCAGCTCTGGAGTATATCGCATGTGACTTGAATATGCTAGAGGAGTTGACATTAGATAGGTATGCACATCTATATGATACATGAAATAGGACAAATCAATATTTATACAAAAAAATAAAATTTTTCAACCGTTCACTTTTTTTGCTTCCTTTCGTCGCTCTCATCCTGAGCTTATGTGTCTTTGAACTCTATGATGTTTCATAAGTCATGACATTTAATGTCATACTGTGTATGTACATGAACATACTTCCTGCTTCTTTTTTTTCATTTGTTTAATTTCGCCAAAACCATTTTATTTCCTTTACGTTCCGTTTTTCTGAGGATGGCTATAGACAACAGCAATACAGCTCTGTTTTTTCCCCTCCTTTGTGTCATCATGTTTTTTTAAAATTAAAGTTTGCAATGTCATTGATGTCCTAGCGAGAAGAAATATATAGAATTAGATAAGGGCTCGTAACTTTTGTTTCTTTATGTTGCTTAAAAAAGTTTTTTTGAGGATAGATAGTGCTGGTTAAGAAGCTTACAGTTTGGTAGCACATTTCATGACAAGTAAAGACAATGCTTATCCTATTAAGTGTTTTGTGCGAGAACGCTTAATTTGTATGAATGAATATACTCTCAACATGGAGTATAGTCAAAAAGTCTTAAGTTCTTAAGTGTCCAAACACAAGTTTGTTACGATTATAACAAGATTATTGGCCAGTGGCATTGCTGTTGGATTTTTTTGGTCCTTTCCAACACGTTTGCTGTAAAGATCAGTGAATTTCAGTGAAATCCTCTACAAAAAATTCAGAAGCAAAAGTTGGCAAGCTTTTGACAGTTTCAGAGATTGTATTTTACCAATCTAGTGGTAAACTTTCAAGGAAAAAAGTTCAATCTGCTTTAAATTCTTTTTGATCTGAAGACTTTTACTCTTTGGAAAAATCCAGCAATTCTTTTCTTAAATGCATTATATAATCAAGATTAATTCACTATTTCAATTATACTAATTCTCTTCAATCTAAGATTTAATAAGGATTTGTATAAGCATAATATCTCTTCATTTTAATGAACTAGAATGAATTCTGAGAAAATAATCTTGAGGAAAGCTCAACGAAGAGAATTTTTTAATTAAGTTCCTTCTGTTGGGATTTAATAACTCTTTGAATTTATTTATAAAACTTTCATCAACCTTCGTACTTTGACATTAGGAACAACAAACTCAAAATGCAATAATTATCCTTTACATCCACAGCGATTTCTTTTCAAATTTATTCTCAGAAGAGTAACTTATTTTCAATTTCATTCATCAGTTGATGGATTACTTAACCTTTTTGAAGCTAAGCAGGCGCCCATAACAATTGCATGTAATGGATCTCAAAGGTCTTCAACACCCACAACGTTTAATTAAGTTCCTCGAAGGAATTAATCACAGTTTCGTCATTAAAGATCACATTATATTGTGGGCTATGTTCTCATCAAATTTCGTAAAAGTTAATTCAAATCATCTTAACGAGAATAACTTACAGGCAGCATGAATATAAATAAATTCCTATACCCGGATGGAAATTCCACATCCGATTACGTAGAAAATTTTAATAGAATTTTTAAATCATCTACAACCTTAAGTTAAATTTATTTTCTATATTCGACGAATGTGATTTTTTATTTTATTCTTTTCTTCCCGCAATTATTTTTAGATGCGTGCATATAACCGACATAGGCGTTGGATATATATCGACTATGATCTCTCTCAATGCACTCTTCCTACGATGGTGCTCACAAATACGTGATTTTGGATTACAGCATCTCTGTTCGATGAGAAATTTGCAGGTATTATCGCTCGCTGGATGTCCACTGCTTACATCGAGTGGATTGTCGAGCATCATTCAATTACGACACTTACAAGAACTTGAGCTTACAAATTGTCCGGGTGCTTCGCAAGAGCTGTTTGCATATCTACGGGAGCATTTGCCAAGATGTATGATTATTGAGTAAACTGCTGTTATTACAATTTAGTGAAAAGTGTGAGTGAAACAAAAAAAGAAAATTAAATTACGTATAAATGAAAAAAAGTAAAAAAAGGTGAAAATTTATTTAAAAGTAATGTTAAAAGCTATTTATGACACAAAAATTGTGAAAAACACGTCCTTTTTCTATTAAAAAAATCAAAAGAAGAAAAAAACACACAAAATTATGAGCGTCAGTTAGAAAACTAAGTTTTAGCTTCGAGTTTTAATGAAAAGATGATAAAAAAATAGATTTTAGACGACTTTTTCCTTCCTTGTTCCCACTCGTAAATGACGAATATAAATTAGTAGCTGTTTTTTTGGGGAGCAGTCTGTGATTATTACATTTGTTTCTATTGTTGTGTGTTTTTGTTGCTTTGTTTTCTGAAAGGTAAGAACAAAGCGACGCTGACTATATATAGCTAGTGATATGGTTCATTCGAGTAAGAATCATGCGAATTAAGCAAAAGCTCCTAGGGATTTTAAATTCAGTGAGTATATTCGTATCTTGAAGTAAATTTTGTCAAAGATACAACATGTTCGGTTCTATTAATAGCCACTTATTAGTAAGAAATCTATGATTCATAAAGAATCTAGCATTTTTAAAAATTATCAAATTTAATATTGGAATATTGGAATCTGTTTCAAACCTTATTGAATTAAGATAACTGTACTGCCAAGACACTGGTTTCATACATTTTTTTGTCCATAAAGCAATTTGCTTTATTAAACTTTATAAAATAACTTAAAGTTTTTATTCAGACTTTACTCAAGGCTGACAATACTCAAGAGATTATTAATAAAAACAATATTTGCACTAGAATCCCACAAAGTTTGTTTTTAACTAGGTAAATAAACAGAAAGGAGAAGGTTGGAATCAACCTCACGTTTAAATGAAGAAAAAAAGGTAGTTTCTACGTTTTTATGTCAATCATAAATACTCAGTCAATGATTCATTTAATCCAATTTCCTTACTCTTCACGCCCATATCTATTCCTAGCTCTGATATTATAAAATCATCAGGAAGTTGTGATTTGCAAACTTGAAATTCACCAAAGTTGTCAGACACTGTGATTTTCACATTAAATATCAGACGTTCAAGAATTTATCCATTATTTATGTCCTTGAACGATTCAATTGCAGTCAAAAAGCTTCCCTTAGTGATTTTCAAATTCCTTTTCAATACGAGAACAATTCTCGTTAATGCTCGATAAGCGCATTTGAGTATAAGAATTGGAAAAAATATATTTATTGTCGTCTTCGTTCCTAAGCTACCATCAATTATTTTACAATATAACAACAAAGGACAATAATGCAGACATAATAGAATTTTTTTTTTTTCATAAATTTTCCTTTTGAATTTTCATGATCTTGGAAACGATAATGGATATGCTAAAATGGTTTATTAAGTAACAAACAGTGTTGGTGTTTAGGTCCATGTGGGAGTTGAGAGAAATGTCGGAAAGTGGGATTTTTGGTGCTTGAAGTTTGTTAAATTTTGGAGCTTTTGATGATTCGGTCAGATGTTGTCAAAATCGAAAATTCTGCAGATAAACATCCTTAATGCAAGCCAAATCCTGCCTGCTATCAAAAAATGATTGACAAACTTTACGAAGCTGTCAATAAGTTTGAAAATTTCACAAGTCAATATATTCATGGCTCAATTTATTTTTAGATTCAATTTCTTATTACCAAAACAGACATTAAGGCAGCAACACTGACACCAAAGAACGCTCTCAAGCTAAAAATCTATGACAATGAAAATTGTGTTACTTATTACAGTAATGTATTTTCAACAATTTATAATGATAACTCAATTGTTTGGGAAGTCAGAAATCGCTGAGGAAAAGTCAAAGTTCAGATTTAATTTTAAAGCATTTAACAAACACATCCTACAGCTAAAATCATTAACATTGAGAGACTTGTAGGCGTTTAACTTTAAATTTATAAAAAATAAACTTTTATCGAAAGACGAAAAGGTGCATTTGGAGCTTGATAGCTCTTCAAATTTATATAAATAAGCTTGTGCTTCAGCTCTTGAAGGATCAAATTTCTAGTGAATTTTGCCCAAATTAATTACCTGTGTTCTTGATTTTTAGCCTCGGGAGCCTTGAAGCTCTTAATTAAATTTTTAATGAATTTCAATTACTTGTTCTACCACGAGAGAATTTAATTAACAGCATTTCATTGCCATCAAGCCATAGAATATTTTGTTAAAGTCCTTTTTATAGAAAATTGTTTGATATTCATTTAATTTTACCACTTGACTGATTATTGCTCAATGAAATTATCTGCCTACATAAGATTTTCACATAATAAGAACAAATTGCGTATCGCATGCTATTTATATAGCTTAATGCTCTTCAAACAAAAGGATTTATACTTTCCTCACAATGAGTTGATTTATTCCCACAACTTACTAAATGATAAATGAAATTCGACATTCTAAAAACCCCAAATGAGCTTTTACTCAATCCTTGAGAAAGTTTTCATATCAAAACATCTAGCAACGAAGCAAATGACGATCCATTGCTCCCCAAAAACACACAAACGCCCCCCAAAAAACAAGCCATTCTCTTGTATATTTTTTTCGACTAAAGCATGAAAGTTGTGAATGAATAACAAAAAACCGAAAATAAATAAATGATGATATAAAAAAAATTGTTGTTGATGATGTTTCTGTTAAAAAGAGTAAATACTGAAAATAATAAGAAGATATAAAAATTTATTTGATGCTAAAATATTTAAGTGAGATGTGAGAAAAACAACTTTTTAATGATAATTTTGTTCCTTTCTTTCTTATTCTTATTATTTTGTTTTTCCTCAACCATTGTACACACAAAATAGAAAAATAAATGAGATCAAAAATTATTGCAGATATCGGGTATAGGGACAAAAATTCCTTCTTCTAATACAAAAATATGTCTTGCATTTTAGAGAGAATATTAATGTAATTCAAATGTATGAATGTCAAGGGAATGGAATTCTGGAGAAGCTATTGGGGTCACATGTTGGTAAGCTTTAAAAATTCATAAGTTGAATAAAGTTTAAAATCTTGAGAGTAGCTCCAGCTGTCGTAACTATAGAATGGTATATTCGATTAACCGACTTGTGCTTTTCGGGGCTACTCAATATAGGAAGTTCATCTATTTGCCCAACTTGTTTATAAAGATTCAAAATCGAGTACTAGGAATTTGAAGAATCTAAAAGCCAGCATTAAACTGTAAATGTTTTAAAGTCGTTTTACATTCAAGCACTCAGCTTAAGTATCATTCCCTTGACACAAGAAAACATGACAAACGTGAAACGAAAAAGAAATGTCTCATCAATGTTTTCGTCCCAAACATCTTGATTACGAATTTTTTCCTTCTTTTTTTTGTGATGATCCAAAAGGAAATTCTCGATACCATAGTAATGTGTCTATAAATAAATGAAAGTGCTCAAAGAGGAAATTATTTTAAATATACTTTACATCACCATAGAATTCACTCTCATTCCACATTCACTACTACTTTGTGATATTTTGTAAATGGATCTTTTTATAGGCTTATAGGAAAATAATGTTTTAGTGATGTTCATTCATAATTAAGTTACATGTAATTCTCTATAGTAAATAATGTTTATGAAATTGATATTATGTTGAATAATCTTTGAAAATATTTAAATTTATTCAGCACACGAAAGGTTCATTGAATTTTTATACATTTTTAAAAAAAATTAATTCAATTTAAATTCCAATTTTCAACATGCAAATTCTCAGTATCTATATTTAGAGTTAAAACTGAATCTGAAGTTCCAATTATCAATTTATGAGAAAATCCATATTCATATTTTTGTTCCATCATTGATTCAATATAAGTCGTCAAATTAAATAATTCTCAATTGATTTAAGTAGCTAGCAATTTTATCAGCTGTCATTTTGTGGTAGTTAAATCTCAGAATCAATGTAATTGAGTTTAATGAGAGGATTAAAAATGGAAAATGATAAAACATTTTTCTGTGGAAATTGCTGGAGCTATAAAAATAACTTTTTTGGGTTCACAAACTAATTTAGAGCATAAAATAATTTAGTATTAAATCTTTAGTCAGCAAAAAAATCATGAACCCTCATTTGGGGTCATTCATTTATAATTGTTGATTTGGTTTTTACAAATATTGAAGATATTACTGATAATCACCAAAAAACCTTAAACTTTTCGTATAGTCATAATATTTTTGTTGACATCACAAGTGAATGACCCCATACCAAAAAATTCATTTCTCTAATCTGTTTTGAGCACTTGATACAACTATGCAAAAAAGAAGATGAATTATTCGATCGTCTGGACGCATTCACTCTCTATCTACATCTCAAACTGACATAAAATGCTTAATAGCTTTCAATATCATCAATTAGATACTTTTATAATCAGAGAGATAGAAAACTAAATTTCATTATAGACAACAGAGTCCCTGACCCGATAGCAACATTTTAATCAAAGCAAAGAAAATAAAATAAAAAAATTTGAGCTTTTGCCAAAAAAAATACCGAAACCGAAAAGTTCCCATTAAGAGAAGAAATTTAAAAATATAGTTAAAAATAGATAAAAAGACATACATGCACACACACAAATTACATTCATAAAAAAATGAGATAAAATATAAATATTTTTTAACAAAACAAAAAAAAAATGCAAATTATAATTAAGAGATATTATTTTTATTATGCAAGGATGAATAAATGATGAAAAATTAATTAAGAATAAAGATGTGAAGAATTTTTTGTGCATTCCAACTTGAAGAAAAATATGTAGACTCTTTCCAATGTGTAAAAATTTCTTATAGCTGACATTATCTTTAACGCGAAGGAAAAATGTTTGTTATTTGAGATTTTTTTCGAGTCAAAGTTGTTGTGGGATTTTTTGGTGGGATTGTGATTGGAATTTTGAGTCATGTAAATTAACATCCTCATCCTTATTGCATCCAGAGTTGAAAATGAAATCGAATTTG